GGACTCCCCTACGAGTGAGGAGAGAGAGGGCCTCGGGGCAAACCTTTCTCTCCTTTCCCTTCCACCTGAGCAGATTCAGGAGAGGGCCAGGACTGAGGGCCTGTCTTGCGTGAGAGTGGGCATGGGCGGGCAGTGGACAGCTAAGTTATCCCTTGGCCTCTAGACCCTGACCCCAAGCTCCCAAAGCTCTCTGGGATTGCCTCTGAAGAGGCCCAGAAGAGAAATGCTAAGATGCCATCAGAGGTCCATCATGCCAGCTCAGTTGTAGAACACTCTATACCCCCCAAAAGTCCCTCATGCCCATGTATAGTCCATCCGTGCTCCCACCCTCTGCCTCGGGCGCCACTGACCCACTTTTGTCTCATTTTGCCCTTCTGAACTTTATACGAATGGAATTGTATTGTCTTGCACGCGTTCATTCTTTCCGAAGCACGACGTGTTTGGCTCATCCGTGTGGTAGCGTGGGTCCGTGGTTGGCTCCTTCAGTGCTGAATAGCACTGCGCTGTGAGGACTACCATGTTTTGTCCATTGATTTACCGGTTGATGGACACGGGATACTTCCCAGTTTGGGGCTCTTGTGAGTAAGACTGCCTGAACATTCATGTACAGATCTCTGCATGGACCTGTGTTTCCATTTCTCCTGCATAGATACCTAGAAGTGGAATTGCCACGTGTTATGCCACGTGTTTGTTTTCACTTAAGAAACTGTCGAATTGTTTTGTCAAGTGGCTATAGCATTTTATGCTCCCACCAGTGTTTTAAAAGTATTTTAAATTGAGGTCACATCTTTTCTCACTGTATTTTTTTTTCCCTCCTTTTTTCTGTTCAGTGGATGCCTGGACTTTGGCCTTTTCTCCTGATTCCCAGTATCTGGCCACAGGAACTCATGTGGGGAAAGTGAACATTTTTGGTGTGGAAAGTGGGAAAAAGGAATATTCTCTGGACACGAGAGGAAAATTCATTCTTAGCATTGCATATGTAAGGAAACATTGCTCTTCTCTCTGACTTTCCACTCACTCTCCCAGCCTGTTGTCGTCCTCGGTGCAAGTTCTGCCAGGTCTTATCAGGCAGCTGCTGTGTCACTGGGGGGTTTGCCAGCCAGCCAGCGTGGCCTGCAGCCAGCAGGAGACTGGCTCGTGTTTGCTGGGGCTGGCTGAACAGGGGTCCCACGCCTTCTCCACATGTTCTCTGCACAGAGTCCTGATGGGAAGTATCTGGCCAGTGGAGCCATAGACGGAATCATCAATATTTTTGATATTGCGACCGGAAAGCTTCTGCACACGCTGGAAGGTAGGGCTCACCACTCTTGTGTGCAAGCTGGGTTATCAGGTCACACAGGAAAAATTACTCTTTCATTAAAGAGCTGCTGAGTGGCAAGTGAGCCTTAGGTTTGCAGAATACCGGTGTCAGAACCCTGAAGTGCCTCCGGGTTGTACTTTTCTCACTGTGGCTGTAACCTGGACTTAGGAGTTCTTGTTCCCGTGGGAAGTGTGCGTGGTCCTGGCTAGACGAGTGCCTCGTCTCTATCGTGGGTGCTCCTGATGAGCTCTGTGATCAAAAGCAGCTCCTTGGTGGTGGGCGGGAGGCCGGTGGAGCTGCTGGGGCCTCGGGGCGGTGAGGTAGATGGGGCTGCTGTGTTTTCTCACTGGCCTTCACGAGAACACGTGATGACCTCAGCAGCGGGGTTGGTAGGATCCGCCTCTGCTTGGTCGACCTTACAGTCAGAAACCGTGCGCATCTGTGTGCTGGCCAGGCCCCCGCAGACGCGTGCTTTCTAAGAGGTGTGTGGAGGTCCAACTAACTGGTGTGGGCAGGGAGCTGAGGACAAGTAGTTCAGGGGGAGGAGCCTGTGTTCTGAGGGTGTTTCTAAAACATCAGGACCCTCTGACTAAAGCACCTGGGCAGTGTGACCCAGCGTTACTAAATGGGACATAGCCAGTGGGGAGCCAGGTGAGGACACGGAGGCAGCGATTCCGCAGATTGACAAGGGCCTTTGTGCATTCCAGGCCACGCCATGCCCATTCGCTCCCTGACCTTTTCCCCGGATTCTCAGCTCCTCGTCACCGCTTCGGATGACGGCTACATCAAGATCTATGACGTGTAAGTTACCTGCTGAGGCTCTGCACCAGTGCTCGTTCTGTCTTACTGGTAAAGCCTGCCCAGGTCACGCCAGGCCCGCGTCTTCCAGTCACACCTCTGTCTTTGAGCACTGTCGTGTGGGGAGGCGCACGTGGCTTACCTGCTAGGATCAGATCCATGCTGCTCCTCTTCAGGCATCCTGTCTCTGGGCCCCCTGGTTCTGAGTTCTTTCAGGTGGGTAAGAGCGTGGAGAGAACGTGGGGCTCCTGCCATGGTCGCTGCACGTCAGGACGAGGGGGCCTTTTGTTGTTGGGTTGGCACACAGGTGTGGTTGCAAGTCAGTCATTCTCTTCGTTGTGTTTCCCCTTTGTCACAGCCTGTGCCCCCATCTTCCTCAGACCCCCCCTGTGTCCCCAGTAAGGTGTTAGATGCATGTCCTCGATGCTTTGACTCAGTGCCGCGATCAGCATGCCTCTGGTTCACAGCTTCTGAACGTGGCCTTCCAGTCCATTAGGTGCAGGTGGCACAGCCGTGACCGTCGTGTGTGTGTGTCCTGTCATGGTGTCACACAGCTGTGACCGCTGTGTTCATGTCCTGTTGTAGACCTGTGAGTTTTCCGGGAGTGTAAACTCAGGAGTTGGGACACTGCTCCTTCAACCTGCTCCTGGCGGGTTTTGGAGGACAGAGGGTCCAGTAGGTGTGGAATTAGAACTCGAATGAGAGCTGGACGAGGGTGTCCAGGCCCAGAGGGTTCGCGCCTCCTGGGCTGTGCTTCTCAGGGCCGACCCGGCAGAACAGCAGCAGTTCCATCCATCCTCCCACCTGCCCGCGACCTGACACGCGGGTGAGCGTCCCCACAGTGCAGATGCGGGGTAGGCCCAGGTGGAGATGCCCAATGAAGACCCTGGACTCGCCGCCTCCTCGTGGCCCTACTGCTTCCCACGGAGGTCGCCGCATACCCACCGGGGCCTGTTTGCAGGGGCGAAACTGCCGAGCGGTCAGGTCTCGGGTGCTCGCCTGCCAGAGGCGATTTGACTTTTTCAAGAAGTGAAAATGGCTGTAGCAGTTAGACTTGTGTTGTTCTTGTTAGGTTAAAAATAACCCCCAGGCCAGCTGTGCTGTAAAAAGCACACGTGGAGAGGAAGCACTGCCCCACTTGGCACCGGTTACTGTCCCGAGGTGGCTGCTCACCCCCGCCATCCTCTGCTCATCTTCGGAGCCGGCTTGCTGAGCCCTCAGAGGGCGGCTCCTCCTTTATTCTGAGCCTCTAAGCTCTCTGCCTGTCCTGGACCTTATCCTTGGCTTTTGGTTTGGGGTTAATGCCGCTGTAAAATTTTGTTTGTGCAATGGGTGATGCTCCTTCATTGACAGGGACTTTCTGAGACAGTAACACTGTCTGTCACCCTATGCACGCAGATTTGGTCCAGTTAAAGGGCAGAGTTAATCACATGCCTTCCGCTTCCGTGACTTGCCCCAGAAGTTGACATCTCGGTTTTGTTTGACACTTTCCCCTTTCAGACAACACGCCAACCTGGCCGGCACGCTGAGTGGCCACGCGTCCTGGGTGCTGAACGTGGCGTTTTGTCCTGATGACACACACTTTGTTTCCAGGTACTTATGACTCTTAGCATTGTCTAAAATGTGTGCAGTGCCCTGAAATTTGGATGATGTCACCCTTTTTTATTCAGATAGCCTTTGTTTTCTGCAGTTTTTTAAGTTGTGAAGTTAGCTGTTTTTAGCTGCAATAAAGGTGGATTCTTTTGAACAGTTCAGCTCTTAGTTTTTCCTTATAAACCTGGGCTTCTACCTACAGTTACTTAAGGGATGTTGGACTCCTGTAGAGAACACTTACTGTGAGGGCCATGCAGGTCACAGTTTGAGGGACATGGCTGCTCTGAGTAGGAAAGCCACGCAATGATGGGTGCACACACACAGCATGTAGCTGAATGAAGGAGTGTGGGATTTTCAGTCAGATTCCATCCAAATTCAAAGCAGCCTGAAAACTATTTGCTGATACACATATTCCCTTTTTAACTAGTTCGTCTGACAAAAGTGTAAAAGTCTGGGATGTTGGAACGAGGACCTGTGTACACACCTTCTTTGATCACCAGGATCAGGTATGGCGTCATTAACATTTAAATTCTTGGTCTGCATTGCCAGCACTGCCTGACCACTGTGCCACACTTCCCTACTGCTCAGATGCGGATGTCCGGCCGGCCATGTACCTATGAGCTGTCTGCGGTGTGGAGGCTGGGCACGTGCTGGCCCTATGCGGGCCAGAAAACATGGCACAGCCTCCGAATGCCACGCTGCTGCCTGGGGCCCCTTTCTGGCTGCTGCCTGGCCACACCGGCTTAAGCAGACCTCCTCCCCGAAGCTCCCGTTGCTTAAACACAGTCATCACTTGTCATCTTGGGAGCTGTCCAAGGAAATGATGGGATTTTTAAAAATATCCTTGAAGCCAGAAATTCTTACAGGTTGTTTGACTTTTGTGATATTGGTAACTTTTGTTGAGACTTTAGGTTAGGAAAAGGAGGCTCTGTGCTCGCAGGAGACCACCTCTGTGAACGTGACCGAAGTGGTAAGGGCTTCACACGCGGCTTCTCAGCCTCTACCTTGCACAGGGCCCCGGGGCGTCTGCTGCAAATGCAGGTGACGTCCAGCAGCCTGGGAGGGACCCGGGTAGCTGCATCTCTGACCAGCTCCTGCTGAAGCCGGTGCCGCTGGTCCCAGCAACGTGGAGTAGCAGCAAGGGTCTCGGGGACTGGGCGCTAAAAATCAAGTGCCCATGGCAGTCAGTACAGAGTTGGCTTTTAAGGTATTTTAAGTGTTTCTATGATGGTCCCACAGATTTCCCCTCTTCAGAAAGCCATTTAAGTTAACTGACCTAATTGCTTCTGCATTTTACACTTCATCTCAAAGCCTTGCCAGTCAGCTGGAGGGGATTTAATCTTGACGTCCACTCCAAGTCCTGGCTGACTGTTGTCTCGTGTGTGGCGGACAGAGTGTGGTGCTGTCTCAGGAAGGGGTTTAGGGTGGACATGAGGCCATCACCTGGCCCAGTCACAACACAGGTCAGGGTGGTCAGGGTGACAGGCTGACCTCATGAAACTCCAGCCACATCAGTCTGTCTGGGAAGGTGGGAGTCTGCTAATTCAGCTCACAGCAGACCAAGTCAGTGACCCACGATGCTGAGTCATCTGGCTCCTGGGGACAGGCAGGCTGCAAGGCCGTGGGGGTGGGCACAGGAGTGAGGTGGGGCGTGCCTTGCATCTGCGGGCGTCCCTGTAGGCATGACCTCAGGTGCTGGTGAGGCTTTTCTTCCTGGAGCCATGACAACCCACGCCGCCGGTCCCTGTGGGCGCCCTCTTCATGGCATTAGGTCACTCCCTGAATTTTGAATCTTTGTCAGGTGTGTAGGAATCTCGAGTCGTGTTTAGAAATGAGGTTTTGTGGCATTTGGGAGGTGAGGGTAGTGACAGGTAAGCAGTAGTAGTGGAAGATGACTGGCTAAAGAAAGGCTTCCCTGCCCTGCATTCTCACTGGTTCAGTAGGCGTGAGGCCACCGCATCCATCGTGGTGGTTTTCTAGTCAGTTTAATGAGAACGTAAGGACGTTTGTGCATGCAGAAGGAAGGCATTCGTAGAACATTTTTTTCTTTTTATTTACAGGTATGGGGAGTAAAATACAATGGAAATGGCTCAAAAATTGTGTCTGTTGGAGATGACCAGGAAATTCACATCTATGATTGTCCGGTTTAGACATCAGTCTCCCAGGCCAACGCTGCAGACAGAATGTATAGACTGAACATGACATTCCTTATCTTTCTAGCTTGTTTGAAAGAAATACAGTATTGTAGCAAAACCTTAAATTTTTTAGGTACAGTATGCATCGTGTCACGTTTTATTGGAAATGTTGTTTGCACTTGAACATAGAGTGTTAAAATGCAAACCGATTCTTGACCACACTTCTTCCCCATCTGCCCTGTTACGGGCACAGCGGCGACAGGAAGTGGCATCATCGTGTGCAGTAGAGTCTGTCACCTACTGACTTCCCAGCTCGCCCTGGGATTCCGGGGCTATCACGCAGGAGGTGGGACAGGGCGGTCTGAATGGGGTCCTGGAGGAAACAGCAGTAGACTGGAGGCAACGTCCTGCTGCCCTCCCCATCTGGGCATCCTTCTCTGTGATGTGTTAATATGTTCCTGCCACACTGTCGCCCTGCTGGTTTTAGAGAAGGCCAGCTTGCTGGCAGACATGGCTGCCTTGACAGTGTGTAGGCTCGAGCCTATGCCGACTGGACTGCAGCCCTGCCTGTCACCCCAGAGCGCCCGCATCTCAGATGGGTCTGCGTGTGGATGGGAAAGGCGTAAGTGGCTGCCATGCTGAGCTCATCCGTTTTCCTGGCCACAGCTTCAGGGGTCTGTAAGTCAGGCCATGTGCCTGTACCTCCTTACCACTCCCTTATCACACACAGCCCTTGCCACTCCCTCTGCCTGGAATGTCCCCTGCTCCGGCCTCAGGGTCCTCCCCGTCACTCTTGTTCTTCACAGCAGTTACCACTGCCTGCAGGGCGCATTTATCCCCCAAGTGGAAGCTCCATGAGTGGGAACTTCATCCCGTTACAACCGCCAGTACGAGGCAAGCTGGCCCCTAGGCATCTGAGCTCCAGAAAGTGAAACACCAAAGCCATTTCTGTCATACCAGCTCAACTTTAATTTTGAAGTGACGAGTGTACAGGGGGAATAAGTTGAAAGCAACACCCTCCTATTCCATTTACATGACGAGAAGGAACTGGATAGAATTTTGCCCCGTCGTCCACTAAACAGTTGTCCAGCAACAGTGTATTGGAAGCCACAGCACAGAAAGAGCGCGCCTTGCACTGCGGTCCCCTTGTAGATTGATGTTCACACAGGCTTCGCCGGAAGAACAGGTTTCAAGTCTGTCCTGGCCAGTGGCCACAGCAGCGCAGGTGGGCTCTTCTCTGCCTATTCTGAGCAAATTATGCTCACCCCACCCCACCTGTCTGAGCTGCCCTTTGACCCTCGCAGGGGACGTCCCTGGTCTGAGTCGCATTCGCAGGGGCTGTATAACCCAGCGACGGTGGGTCTGACAAGTGGCCTCTGCTTTAACCCAGCAGCTTAGAAGGTAGTTTTTCCCCATGACTGTTGTGGGAAGGAAAGAAACAGTGATGGGAGAAGGTGAGGCAACCCTAGGTTTAAATTGTGGTCTACCTGCCAGGAGTAAGGGAACGGCCAGCATCCCTCCAGACAAGCCATCATTCCCACCCGGCTGCAGCCAGCCCTCAGTGGAGCTGGGTCAGATCCATCCTCAGCGGAACGTCACCACAAGCAGGAAGCCCCTGTGCATGGCTGTTTGCTGAGGGGAGGGACCTTTGGAAGGGAGCTGGGCCTGGGAAAGTGAGTGGAAAACAGGTGTCCTTTGCCTCTCCAGACCCTCGAGTCATCCAGGAAGCAGGCTGTGCCGCGGGGACAAGCCACCAGCATTCCGCCATGGCTGCTGGGGACACGGAGGGTGTAGTTTTCTTTACAAGTAAGCACTTTGGTGGGAAAGCACTGTAAAAGTTGTCAACAGCAAATCATGAAAACCACAAAGAACAAGGTGCTGGGGTAAACAGTTCTATCAACGTTTCATTTAAAACACGGGTCTGTCCTCACCATGAGGCGTGGAAGTTCCCGGAAGCTTCCAGGAGATGTGATCAGATACACTCACTCCATTCCAGCCACTCGGACACAGAACACTAAGAACCGTGTTGGCCCTGCAGCCCAGTCAGCGCCAGCAGGCACTGGAGCCAAGTCCAGTCCACAGATGTGCTTTGATTCTGGAGGATCAGCTAGACTGTCGGCTCAGAAGTGTCACACTAGCAGCCCTGAGACCATGCCCTCAGTGCCTCTACCGTGGACAGGGGGGCAGGGGAGGAACCCAGACCGAGATGGGCAGCGCGCCTACACGGTTCCTGGAGGTTTACTGGGGCTGATGTGCTTTACTGGTGGAACTGAGTTATGGCAAAGCCACTAGAAGCACAGTGTCTGTGCGGTCACCGGCACCTCCAAGTACCCTGAAGATGTAAAGACAGATTCCAAATGCAGACTAGAGCCGATTTACACTTAAGACGTTTCAATATAAATTAAGCTATAATTTAAGTTACAACCAGAAGAAAAACCAAAAAGACACTCAGCAATGAAGGATGCTGAACACACACACAGGACACCCAGACAGGCCATTACAGCAATGTCACTTTCATTGTGCCAACATTACATTCATCGTGTGCCCGACCGGCCGGGCCGCCCACCTCAGGCCGTCTGGCACTGCACCCCACCCCGGGGCCCGTCATCATCCTCCTCATAGGCCTCCCTGTGCTGGCGCCAGTTATGATCGCTGGGGCTGAACTCCGTCAGCTCTGCCTGGTCCATGTCATCGGTGACTGTCACTTTCTGCCGAGGAGGGAGTAACGCCTCCAGCTGAGGAAGCCTGTCTTCAGGAAGCCAGTGCTTCTCGGGAAAGATGACCTGTAAGGGCAAAGTGGGGGTGAGCAGCTGTTTTCTCCCTTCCCAGTGCGGGCACGAGTAACAGTCCCAGGAGGACGGAGCCCGTGCACCTACCAGGAACTGTACGATCAGCACCCCTCTCTCTAGGGGTGCTTTGTAGATGGGCATCCCTTCGTTCTGCACGCATTTCAGGTCCCCGTGCTTGATCACTTCGCCTGCCGCAGAAAAGGGGTCGTTACGAAATAGAAGATGGAGGGTGGCCCGAAGAGGTCTGTCCCGCCCCCTAACCTAATCCTCAGATGCCCACTGTGGCCAGCGAGGGGACCAGAGCAGCACTTGTCACAGCCAGCAAGGGGGTCGAGAGTGCCTGGGTGGCTTGGCCGCCACACCTGTCCAGACATGATTTGATGTGGACAATTTGCCTGAAGTGCTCTTCTGAAAGCTTCAAGTCAAGGTCCTAGCCTGGTCCTTCTCCCCTTTCCAATGTGCCTACCATCCCCTCAGCGCCTTGTGGGCAGGTGCCCTGCTTGCCACAGGGCCTCACCCTCCCGGGAGCTGGGAGCCTCACACATCTACACGAGCCAGCAGGCTGAGTGCTTGGCCAAGAACCCTGTTGGTCCCTCAGGCGGCTCCCCGCCAGCCCAGCCTGTGCAGTGTGCCCACAGGCAGTTTTCTGCAAGCCTCCAAGGGAGGGGCTGACCACCAAGGTCTCTTTTCAGGAAAACTCAATCCTTAACACTCGCACATAACTGTAACACAGAATTAGCACAGAAGGCCACGGGATAGAAAAACCACCTGCTATTGGCTGTGTTTTCTCATCATTCAAAATTAACTTTTATAAAATTTAAGTTAAATGGGCAGTTTCCAGTTAGAATTTCAGACTCTTCCCCCTCCACTCTGGATTTTTTTTTCTAGGAGAATGAAAACTTTTTTCAAGTCATCAGTGACGACCTTCAACTTAAGAGTTCAAAATGCACTGGCTTGTGCGATACACGTCAGCCTTAAACATGGACACAGCAAAGGGCAGCCTTAGTCAAACACGGGGCTACTCCAGCACAGCGTGCGTCTGAAACTACCTGACTTGGACGTAATGACAAGGGTTCGGTCGTCCAGGGTTTTGATCGTCTTTTTGAAGCCACACAAGGCTTCAGAAAGTTGGATTTTCATTTTCATGATGATGTCGTGGCCTCGTCTCTGGAAGACGCTGTGGTCCTTCTGGTCCAGCACAATGATGACGTCACCAGGCTCCAGCTCAGGCTCCTGGTCGCCTTCTCCATGGAACACGATCTTCTGTCCGTCTTTCATGCCTGTGGGCCACCATGCGTCTCATTAGCCGTTTGTCCTAAAGCCGCCCTCCTACAAAGCCGTCCAGAGGACTCCCAGCATGGGGGCATGGCCAGCCCTGTGGCGCCCCATGTGCACCTCACCTTTCTCAACGTGCACCTCCATTGTCTTCTTCTCGCGGATCACCTTGGCGCCCCCGCAGCCCTCACAGCGGTCCCTGGGGTGGATGCGCTCCCCCTGGCCCTGGCACTCGACGCACACGGTCTGGATCTGCTGCACCATGCCCGGCCCAATATGCTGCACGTGCAGCTGTGTCCCGCGGCCCTTGCACACCGGGCACTTCTCCACAGACCCCTTCTTCCCACCAACGCCTGCGGGGGAGGGAGAGGGCAGAAGTAGCCGCTGGGGTGTCAGTTCTGACGTCACAGTGACGAGCAAGGGGCACAGTCTACGTGACTCTAGCCAAGCAGACCATAACCAGCTGTCAGATGGGATCCCAAACGTCTGTGCCAGGCCAGAGTACTGCCACAGCTTTGTCACAGCCATGCCCACAGGTGACCGAGTAAGCCCTGTCCCTGGGGTGGTGCCCAGCTCAGCCGGCTCGCTGTGGGACATGGTGGAGCTGACTCATCTTGAAAAATCAAACTTCACAAGATTACGTTAATTACATTTACAGCTACGTTAGGGGTCAGTCAGTCTGTATGGCCAGCTGCCTGGTTTTGTAAATAAAGATTTATCGGAACACAGCATGACCATTGTTATCTGTGGCTGCATTTGCACTAAGCTGAATAGTTATGACAGAGACCACATGGCCCACAAGCCTAAATGCTCAATGTCTGACCCTGTACCAAACACGTTTGCTGACCTCCAGGCTGGCTGAACTGTCTTGATTTCTAAGTCTGTAAAATAATTGTCAACATACTAAATAAATGTGCAGCCCAAATAAAACTGTACAGGACCAAATAAACAAACTTGGCCCTCAGGTCACCTGTGTGCAATCTGTGAGCCTCACACTGGAAAAGATACGTTACTTTTCTCAGAATTACAAAACAATTGTTTATAGATTGAAGGGATCAAACTTTGAGACTAATTCAAAAATTGATTCTTACCTTCACATTTCTCACAAATTACATTTTTCTGGAGGACCAATTTCTTTGTGACTCCATTATATAAATCTTCAAGAGTTACGGACAACTGATGTACAACATTCTTGCCTTAGGGGAAGAATGGGGAGGAAAAAAACCGTTAGTGATACTGTATTTGATCCACCCAGATGACACACACTCTGCAGGGACTCAGAATTGCTGTGTCCTTCGTTCCCTTCCCTGTGGGGACAGTACTGCTGTCATTACACCTGGCCCATCCCTCCGGCTCTCTGCCAGTGATGAGAACGAACACCCTTTCTAGCGATGAGCTAATTAGTCATTTATAGATGTCAACACAGAGACTTTCCATCTCCATTTCCAAAGGACAAATCTGACAGACCACTGAGCACACCAAAGCAGTGAGCTCCCTTCCCTCTCGGGTGCATGAGTGCATGGCAGCTGTTCTCTGGACCTTTAGTTGAAACTCTTCCTTGACCAGAACACCCTGTACTTGTGAGCCCTTCTGGGAACTTTATCTGCCGGAATCTTGTCGTGCATTTAGGACGGTGGGCCTTTAATCTTTGGAGGGAGTCTGTCTGCTTGACGCCATGCCAGCCTGTTGGGACCAGCAGCACCAGGACCCTCACTACTGCCCATAAGGCTCACGCAGGCACTGCAACAAGGTGTCCTTGTTTACTGGCTGTCAGCTTTGAGAGATGACTTCATTAAGGGTGAGAAGTTGTTCATCTCAAGACAGCGAGAGGGCTGAGCAAGAACTACCCAAGGTCTAATCACATCTCCGTGGTCAAGTCCCCGAGCAGGCACATACCCAGACGACAGGGCAAGGGTTATTCCCTGATAAACACTGCTTTCAGCGTCCTGTTCACGGATTCGACAGCCGAGCTTTTTGAAGCTCAGAGTCCATTACAGTGTGAGAGCAGTACAGCCGTATTCATCCAGGGGCCTCTTGCTACCCACACCGCCCTCCTTAAGCCCGGACACAGCTGCTGCTTTTATCCAGGACTGTAATAAGCTTTGATATCTGTCTGGTTTTGAGGGCTAAACAGTTTCTCAACAGCAAACTGAACAGGGAAAGGGGGCTATTAGAGACCACTGGTGACAGAAGTGGCAGGAGGTAAAAGGTAGAAAAATTAGGAAGAGCAAACCCAGATCAGCAGCCTGGGGCTGTTCGGCTCATGCAGTACCAGCCAGAGGTCCGCAGGCACGGGAAGGGAAACTCACTTGGCAGAGGCACCACTTAGGTCCCCTTGGACACTCGGGCTGATCCCAACAACAGAAAAAGGGCAAGACGAACATGACCTTCCTCCTTCCTACTCAGCACTCCATCTGCTCCTTTCTACGTGGTGTTTGCAGGGTGACAGGTAATTACTAAGTGCACTAAAACATTCTAGGCAGCCTGGAATACTAGACAAGTGATGAAGTATCTGAAGTGAGGGATCCCAAACCCTGATGACTGTGCCCTATAAGGCATGATCATCCTGGAAGCTGTGCCACCTGCTCGGTGTCCTTGAAAGCGCTCACCTCTCCTCTCTCTCGCCATCCGCCCTCCGCCACCAAAGAACATGTCAAAGATGTCCATGGGGGACGAGAAGCCGGGGCCGCCCGAGCCGCCCTCCTTGATGGCCTGCTCACCGCCCTGGTCATAAATGTCCCTCTTCTTTGGATCTGAAAGCACTTCATATGCCTGGGATATGAGCTTAAACTTGAAAAGAAAAAGAGCGATTAAAAAGAGAAGGTTTGAGTTGTGTCATGAAGCAAATCCACAATATGAATGCAGTGACAGGTATTCTGCACCCAACCCTCCAAACTAACTGGTGTGTCCACTACCTGGGACGCAGGGCCCAGTGAGCCCAGCCCAGGCCAGGACCCAGGACCCAGGACCCGGGGCTGCTGCTGGCTTCCCGGCCCATGAGCTCTGCTCTGTGTTTACCAGCAGAAAGTGCACAGACATCTCATGAGCACTGCTGATGCAGACACCGTGCAGATGTGCACTTCTGAGCTTCCCCAACATCCTGCCCCTCCTGTAGTCCCCCCACATCTCACTCACTGGCAACGTCAAAACCTCATTTCCCCTCTCCCTCCCATCTCATCTGTCAGCAAATCCTTTGGGCAGGCCTTCAGGCTTCTTACCGCCAGAACCCAAGACAGACAACACACCCCAGGTGTCACATTCCTACTGTGGCAACCCAGCTGTAAACCCAAACTGAAGGGCATTCTGGAAAACTAAGTGCCGTGTGTGGTCCTGCACTGGGAAAATGGCTACACGGACACTGGAATAACTGAAGAAAGGTGAATTTTTCCCCTCAGCGTTACGCTGCTTAAAGCTGATCATGGTTTTGTACAAGACGTAGTTTTTCCTCGGAGAAACACGCTGAAGTATCTAGGGCTGAGCAGTTATGATGTATGCAACTTACTCTGAAAAGCTTTAGCAAATAATGACAGAACATTAGAGACAGGTAAACATTTATGATGGGTGAACGGGGTGAAGGAAACGCACATGCTCCTTGGACCACTCTCATCTTTTCTGTAGGTAGACGCAAGTTTTAAAATCAAATCAGAACACTCTGAAATATCCCAGATCCATCCCTTCTCACCATCACTGTCATGCCTGCCCTGGCAGTGACCTCCTCAGTCCCACCCCATCTTCCGTCCTCACACCCCAGCTTTCAGTCTGTTATCCACACAGCAGCCGGACCAGCCAGCTCATCATGCCAGACCCTCCAACGCGGGCTGTTTCACTCAAGTAAAAGCCCAATCTGAAGCTCTCTACCTCCATCGCCTGCACTTGTGCCCCTGCCACCAGCCTCCTGCTGAGGTTGCACCCACTGCAGTGTCAGCTCTGGCCTGTCTACCACTGTATGCTCAAGCCTAGAATGGTATCTGGCCCATGGAAGACGCTTGGCAAATACTGTTAGACAAATGGCTCAGTCCTGGGAATTCAGAACTGAACAGATGAGACAGGATCTTGACCCTCCAGAGGTGGGTCTATGAGACCCATAGCTTAATCTATGAGACAGATGTCCACATAAACATCCGATAGCACAGCTGGCTCCATAAAACAGAAAGCAGCTCTATGAAGATGGAAACCAACAGATATACTAGGTTTTCTCTGGCATCATAGATCCCTGATGGAGATCTAATAAGTAACTAATAAATAATAAATGATAGCTAATAATAGCTAATAAATAACTGGGTAATTTAAAAAATTAAGTCTTAAAGAGATGTCAGAATCATACTCAAGCAGCCAGATGTGTGGATATGTTAATTCTCACAGCGTTTCTGCAAAGAAGCAGGTACCATTCACTTTCACAGCAGAAAAATTGAGGTATCGCGATTAGGTGCCTGGTACAGAAGACCAGAAAGCAACTAGGCCAGCTGCCCCCAGAGAGTTCCCGGGCCTGTGTGTAGGTCAGGGACGAGGCAGATACACTTCATGAGAAGGTCCACCAGAAATACCCACCAAATATTCTGGATACTTGAAAGACACTTGGTCTTAAACTGAAAGTTACAATGAAATTGGCCAAGAGACCAAACTCATCTCAAAAGCTGGTTAGGGTGATAGCCAAGAGATTACACCCCTATCACTGCCCCTGAAAGGGACAAGCTTACTGACCCACCGCCTGACGGCCACAGATGAGATTAAGTACCGACTCCATAAAGAGCGCCTGACGACAAACACAGGCTGCCCAGTGCTTAGCAACACAAGACAACAGGGCACCAAACAAAGACCAACACACCAAAAGCCGTCACAGTTGTCCCAGAGCAAGGGGGAGAGGACTGGCATAATCTATTTTTGAAGAGACAAACACAGTGACAAGCTTTGGAAAAAAATAAAACGGTTCCACCTATGACATACAGTCTTGCACAAAAAAGAAAAGGTGTACACAGTATGCTTGGCGCACAGTAGGACCTGGTGAATGAATGAATGGGTCCTCTCTAGGGAACTTTACAGCAGAGTTTCTATCATCCCCTTTGATTTCCAATCCAGTTTCCACTGATCTCCCAACTACCTCTAATGTGCCATTGTAGGCTCGCTCCTCATCCCACAGAATTCTCTACCAAGTGCTCCTTCTCATGACACTGCCATTCATTCAGCCAGAGAACAAGTTGAGCACCTACACTGCACAGCTAGTGGGCATGGCAGTGGGAAATGCAGGTGTCAAACACGGAAAATGCACTTTAATTTCGTTCTCAGCTAAAACTGCTTCCGGGAGGCTGCCTCTGACCCACCTACACAAATGGAGTACAGGTCAAATCCAATTTTAAACAGCTTCAGAACACCAAAAGCAGACTCCCCCCAGCTGTATGCACACAGCCATGAGCTGACTCTTGGGAAGTGCTAGGAGATGACCTGAAACCAGGGTCAGAAGGCTCTCCCACGTGGCCTTTAGCCGGCCTTCTGACATGTGACATCACAAGTCTGGATGCAACCTCCTTGAAGGAGAGTCTCACAATCAGGTACAGTGAATTTAGGAGGCACGCCTGTGAGTCACTGACAGCACATACAAAGCCAGTGACTTTAAAAGCTACAGTGAGCCACGCGAATAAAGATGAGAAAGAACGCCAGTGAGTAACAAACCAACAGGAAAGCACTTAAGCCTGTGACAGCCACATTCAGCACATGTGGCGAAATTCAAACATTCCACCATCACTGGTGCCTCCCCGCCAACCGTCCGTGAGCAGCTTTCTCCCTGGAAACAGCTGAGGCAGACAGGTATTTTGATCCTAGTGGCATTTCCCTAGTCTAGGTGGGTGATCTGTGACTTCAAAACTGTTCGGGGTATCAGCTACTCTACAAAAGCCCCGCCTCGCCCAAACCATCTGGGACATCTAAAGTTTTATGAGAAAATGGCAAGAAATGAAAGGTGTTGTGGAAGGCCCGCACGCTTTCACAAGGGGCAGTGCCCAGTCCTTCCAGGTACGGAACTATTCAGGTGGGTGTTGAGCCTCCTTGGGGATCAAAAGCTGACTGTGAACAGGGTGAAAAGATTCACTGCGGTCTCTACTATGCAGAGCATTTTTCAGTATCATCGGTAGTTGGGATCAGCGGTGGGTCATTTGTCACAGAAAGCCTGGAACATTTGTATAAAATGATGTGCACGGTTAAAGATCTTCGTATCCCTGTTTAATCAAGAACATGTACCATTCCGTGTCCGACCCCCTTTATCCGGGGGGAGATGGGCACACAGACCACATATTGAGAAGGACCCAGAGTTTGTCCCAGGACCCCGCTCAGACATACGACACTCGTCCTGAGCTCAGGGACTCCGAGCCCAGTCGTTCTACGCGGTTGTCCCGCAAGCGCACTTGTGGCGGCTGAGCCTGTTTCCCACGGGTTCGCCCACGACCCCCTGAGGACGAGCACCTGGCCAGCCCCGGCCCCGTGCGCCCCCTGCTCCGTCAGCCCCGCCCCCCGTCCCGCGCCCCCCGGGCTCCGTCAGCCACGCCCCCGCCCCGCACCCCCTGCCCCTGGCCTGGCACCGCCCGCCAGCCCACCTTCTCGCCCTCGTCGGGGTTCTTGTCCGGGTGGTACTTGAGCGCCAGCTTCCGGTAGGCCTTCTTGATCTCCTCGGGGGGCGCGCTGGGCTTTACCCCCAGGATATCGTAGTACTGCGTCTCCTTCACCATCTTGCCCTGCGGCGCCGGCGGGCGACGCCGCTCAGGAGACCGCTCAGCGCTCCGCCGCCCGCCGCGCGCCGGAGCCGGTCACCTCACGCCTCGTCTCCGTCCCGTCAGGCCCGGGCCTGGGCGCGTCACGCTCACGTCACGCCGCGGTCGCGTCCCGCTGTCGTCACGTCACAATGGCGTCACGGCCCCTCGGTCGCTGCGCCGTCAGTCGCGCCCCCCTCGGTCCTATCACGTCAGCGCGGTCCCCTTGGTCGCAGTCCCCTCGGTCGCGGTCCCGTCCGCCCCGCCGGCCCGCCTGGCCCGCACTCGGGCGCCAGCGCCTCCGCGGCGGCTTTTATTCGGCGCGGGCGGCCGCTTCCGCGGGAACGGTGACGCCACAAAGGCCCAGAACCTTCGCGGAGGCTCGCGAACGTTCTCGGCCGCCGCCTCCCCGGAGCGCCCTTCCGCTCGGGCCGCCGCGGGCCTTGCGGGGTCGGTGCGGTGGGGGGCCCGGTGGGTGCGTGTTCTGTGCGGCCACGGGCGCCCGTGTGGACGCGCCCCCCCGCGCGCCGGGTCTCCCCAGTGCCCACCCCGGGGGCAGAGGGCTCGGCCCGCCCTGGGGACCCGGGGACGCGCCCGACACCTGCCGTCTCCAGACCCTGGACCGACGGGGGCTGTTCACTTGCTGCTGCTGCTTGTGCGTTTCCGTTCGTTTTTGCGCGGACGTGTGTGCATGTGTGCGTGTGTGCGCGTATACACACGAACGCGAGGAAAAAGTCGTTAGAAATAAGCAGGTGTGGATTCCCGGCCGCAGTCAGGGTTCGGGACCCCCTGGTCCCCGCAGAGAAAGGCCCACTGGCTTAGTAAAACCGAGCACGGCCCCCCCACTCCGCGATGTCCCACCTTCCCGGTCCCCGGGGCCCCTCCCGTGTGTCCGCAGCCACCCGCAGAGCGGGACCCAGAGCTGAGCACAGTGCACGGAGGTGGGACCTCCCGGCACCAGTTGTCAGCGCATCACGGGCACCGGGAGGGCCACACACACACGGGAAGACAGGCCCCCCAGGACGCGCCTCCCAGCGCCTCGCGGGCAAGGGCGCGTAAGGAGAGGCCCCCACAACAGGGGAGGCCCCCACAACAGGAGTCTGCACCGCCTGTGTGTGTGGGGGGGGGGCTCTGCTCTTCTGCTTTCTTTGAGTTTAGTTTGGATCCGCAGATGAGCCGAATAACAGCGTCTTTGGCCTGATCCCAGCAGGAGACCCTCCCCCCTCATCTAGGGACCTTGCCGGGCACAGGCGAAGCCGCCGCGCCTGCCAGCAGCTGGGCACTTTTCACATCATTTCCACGCTCGCCCGGTAGAGTGGGCACAACCGTCCTCATGTTGCCAGCGAGAAAACGGAGGCTCAGAGAGGTGGAGTCCCTCACCCAGGCTCTCGCGCTCCTAAGATGGGGATCTTGCCGGAAGCCTCACCCAGACTGGATGCTGCCAGAGCCTGCGCGTCCTTTCCAGCCCAGGTCACACAGCTGAGCCACTGGCAATGGGGCCTCTCTTCACACAGAGTCGGGGAGTATCCCCAGTTCCAACAAAGTCCTGGATTCTCCTTCTTGTATCTGAGGAGTCAGGCTAGCCACAATTCAGTCGTTTTTCTGAGCTTCTGCAGAAATCATAAAATCCACATACATACCCTCCCAACTTTTGGATGAGGAAACTGTTATCCAAAAAGCATCCCACAGCTTGCCCAGGGTCACACAGCAGGGTAAGGCTAAAACTTGGGCCTTTTCATTCCCAGCCAATGTGCCCTGCATCACATAAGCACTAAAATACCCCCAACCACTGTAATATGCTCATTAATACTTTTTAAGAGAAACTCCTCATTGCAATATAACGCACACATAGAAAATACACAAATTATCACACAGTGAGCGCTCCTTTTTACCCCCATCCAGGATTTTCTAAGGCCAGCCCTCCAGAAGCCCTGTGCCAGCTCGCAACCACTGTGCTCCCCTGCAGAACCCCATTCTGACTCCTGAGACAGGCTCATTGTGCGTCTGCGAACATGATCTTAATGGAGTCGTGTAATTGGCATTCTTTTGCTTCTGGCTCCTTTTTGCTCAGTGGTAAGCTGGTGTGAATCCTCAGCGCTGCTGGATGTAACAATAGTTCATTCATTCTCGCTGTTTAGGGTTCTCTCGTGTGACTGTATCACACTTTGGCATCCATTGTCCTGTTGATGGTCATTTGGGTAGTTTCCAGGAGCTGTTGTAGTACTGCCATGAGTGTGACTTCTGGCACATGTATGTTCACTTTTCTGTTGGCTGTACTCCTGAGAGTGGAATTACTGGGTGGGTTGGAGGTGACTTGCCCCCCTGGCCGTCCCCCAGCCCACTCCCCCCATCACAGAGATGCCTACTTGGTGCTTTGAGAAATCCCCTGGGGCCCCCCCTTGTGCCCATGAGACCCTCAGGTGCACTGCAGAGCGAGGGCAGTGGGTAGTAGTGGGCCCCGCGGGCTCGGGCACATTTAAGAAGCTCTGTCCTCAGAGCCATTCAGATAAAGGCCCTGTGGCTGCCAGTTGAGAACTGGTTCTATTCAGGCTGCTGGTGAGAGATAACCTGCTCATCTTGCAGCAGCTTGCAACCCAGTGTGGAGTGGTGTGCCCTCCCAATACACTCTAGCTCTATCCAGGGCAGGGGCTGCGCGTGGAAGGTGCTCGGTAAAAATGTGTGGGGCCTACTGCAGCTTTCTAAAACGCCAGTGACAGGAGGCTGCTGACAGCCCCCGCCCCCTAGCACCCCACGCTGAGCTCCCCCAGAGCCCTGTGTATGGTTACTGTAACAAAATACCACAAACTTGGTTTTAAACAGGCAGGTATTCCTTTCCAGTTCTGGAGGTCAGGAATCCAAAGCGGGTCTCACTGGGCTCAAAGCAAGGTGTTGTCAGGGCTGGTTCCTCCTGGAGGCCCTGGAAGGATCCATTTCTTTGCCTTTTCCAGCTTTTAAGCCTCCCGCATTCCTTGACTCGTGGCCTCTTCCTTCCTCGTCAAAGCCAGCAGCATTCTCCAGTCTCTCGGACTTTGCGTCCATCATCACATCTTCTGTCACTCTGGCCCTCCTGCCTCCCTCTTACAAGGACGCTTGTGGTTACACTGAGCCCACCTGGATGATGCAGGATAAACTTCACATCTCGAAACTCTTAATCACACCTGCATAGTCCCTCCTGACAGGTAAGTTAATAGAGTCACAGGTTTGGGGTATGAGGACACGGACATCGTCGGGGGCCGTGATTCTGCTTGGCAGCCAGGGCCTCAGACCTACGAGCTTGCGTCTCCTTCCAGTCAGTCCTCGTCTCCTGGCCCACGTGCTCCTCCTTGGTCACTCTACACGTCTGGCAGGGTTCTACCTCCAACACCTTTGTTTCTACAAGTCTGATCCCCCCAAACTCAGTGCCTTCAGCCCAGCACCTCCTTCACTGAAAAGCCACCTTCCCCAGGAAGCCACCTCTGACCTCCTGAGGAGAGAGGCTTCCTGTCCTGAGTGGCACACATGATGGTGGCCCTGGCAGGTGGCGCCGCTCCGGCTCAAAGCCTGGCTCTGTCACGTGCTGCCTGTGTGACGTTAGGCAAGCTAACATCTGTGTGTCTGCGTGTCTTCATCTGCAGGATAATCATAGTAGCAGTAGCAGCAGTAGTGGTGGGTTTATAAGGCTATACGTGGATTAAAGGAGAGAATGAGCAGGAAACGCCTTAGCACAGAGCCTGGTACACACAGCAAATGCTTGATTTACAAACGGTCCTGTTTCATTGTTATGATGTCTGGGGCTCCCCTCCCAGCTGGGCTGTCCCTCCTGAGAAGTAGACCTGTGTGCCCCAGACGTCCACCTGGCACAGTCACAGTTGCTCGTTGATTTACGTCAGAGGGATGCTGAGATGGACACGTGGCCATACTTACTGCACTCATCTGCCTGAGCCTGTGATCAGACCTCAGGATCCAGCAGGAGAGGCAGACTCCTTGGCCCCAGGCTGAACAGAAGAGGCACTCTTGCTGACGGTAGCAGGGAGGAAGTCTCCATGGAACGTAGCAGAGAAACAGGGAGAAATCAGGGGTATCTCGGAAGGCTTCTTAGAGGAGGTGAGTGTGGGAACCCTGCAGTACCTGGAGGCAGCCGATGTCTGGCCTCTCAGCCTGGACCCTCCACACCTCTCTGCCCATGTACATCGGCCTCCCAGGCTGCAGTGTGAGTGTTCTGTACAAATTGACAAAGTCCTAAGAGAAGTCGGTTACAGATGCTGAGAAGGCCCCTGGGGATGAGATGGCTGTTATGTGACTCGCGCCCTCAGAAAGGGCTGATCAGGGCTGGCCCCACTTGTCCCCAGTCAGCCAGGGTGGGACTCGTCCCCCATGGGGCTCACTCTGCCTTCTTGGGAGTATGGGAGGGTCAAACTCTGTCTGGATTTGGCCTCAGGGAGACCCCCATAAAGAATGGGACCCCAGAGGTCCTACCGGGCAGGAGTGGTCTATTGCGATGATGAGATTCCTGTTTTGTAAAAGAAAAAAAATAGTTTTCTAGACTCTTGACAACATTAGAGGAAAGAAGACCGATTCATTTAGCTGTGACTGTGAGCTCCACTGGGTCCTTGAGAGCAGGGAAGACCCCTTTCCCCGGTCAGTGAACCTCCACACCCCTCCTCCTCCGATGGCTGCAGGGGTCCCTCTGAGCGCCCACCCGCAGCTAGGCAGCCCTGGGCATGGACACCAAGGTCTGGTCGGAGGTCAGACCACCTGGGCCCCAGCCCCGTGTGTAAGGGCTAGTTGTGGGACTCGGCATGTCCCAGCCCCCTCAGAGTGTCCCCCGGTATGAGGTACGTGGATGTGGATGCCTGGCATGGCTCTGGGCACACATGGCAGCAGGGCATCCTCCCTCCCCGCCCTTGTTTTAGAAGGCCAGGCTCAGCCAGGAAGCAGCGCCTCACCCCCGAGCGTAGACTTGTCTGGACACTTTCTCCCCAGCCAGTGCATTCTGGACATCAGGGAGCAGGGGCTGGGAGAAGAGAGGCTCAGCTGGAACCTGAGAGGCCCTAGCCTGGCTCTGCTGAAGGGGGTCCCTCTTTACCCCCACTGCCTAGCCTTCCAGGCTTGTCTTCAAGTAGGACGTGGGGTTTGAGCAGCGACTAGTTTCACCGTGCTTGGATGTGCAGCTTCCATGGGGAGCAGCGCTGACTGACCTGCCCTAGCCTGCCTCGGCCCTGACTCCTCTCCTGGGCCACCTGCCAGGACTCTGAGGCCTTGGCTGGTTGTCCACCCTCCCCTGGGGAGGTCACAGACGCAACTGGACCAGTCAGGTAAGCTTTTGGAGCTCCCTTGGCCCCTGAAGTCATTTCACAGGTGAGGAAACCAAGGTTCTGAGAGATGAAGGCTGCACCGGGGTCATGCAGAATGGAAGCACGTTATGCTGAGTAAGTCCAGTGCTCTGTCCCCAGCTGCAACTTAGTCACCAGCTTCAGGGGCAGCCAGCGTAGGGGGGATGCAGACTGGGCAGCAACAGCACCCTCAGCCCCCAGGCTCTGTCAATGAGAGCTCCGGAGAGTTGTCCAAATGTCCATTCTTCTCATGGTGACATGCCTCAGTCCCAATTTAGAGCTTTCTTGGGCCTCATTAATAAAAATAACAAACACTGGCTCTTAGGAAGTGTCCATACTGCTCTAAGCGCTTTCCGTATATTTAACTCTGCAACCCAGTGAGGGATGAATTACTGTAGCTCCATTTTACAGATGAGAAAGTTGAAGCACAGAGAGGTTAAGTTATGTATCCAGGGTCACACAGCTTGTAAGTGGCTGTCTTATCCCAGGTTTCCCTAAAAAGCCCACAGCAAAACTTATGCCCTAAGGCTTTATTGGGAGTGGATCCTAGGGCACACAAGTGGGGGTGGGGAGAAGGAAATGAGGTGGGGAAAGGAGGTAAGGGGGAAAAGTGAGTCAGAAAGGGGAGGAAAGCAAATACAAGGTAGTGAGAGCATTTCTGAGCTGCCCACTCTTTCACAAGAAAACAGCTATTGGCTGTGTCACATAGGCCAGGGGCTTTGCACTTCGGACCATTCTGTTGAGGGAGAAAGGGAGACACTGATGGCTGTCTCCTTACCCTACACTGTGCCTCCACGGTGTAGAGTACGGACAAGGAGGTGGAGAGGCATGAGACTGTCCAGGTGGCAGGCCTGCCCCCTCACCTGCCCATATTTAGTTAGTCCAGCCTTGGATTTTTTGTTGTTGTTTTTATGAAGCTGGTTTCAGTTAGGGTTTCTGCCCCTTGCAACCAAGAGTCCCCATTTTACAGATGAGGAAACTGAGGCTCAGACTGCTGAAGTGACTTTGCGTAGGTCACATAAGAACCCGTGTGCTCAACCTCTACCCTGTACCTTCCCGATCCAAGAGCACAGGACACGTACCCTTCAATCCAGGTCTCCCCAGGTGAGGGAAGAAGGCCCCGTCTCTGCAGAGGGTGCTGCCTTCCTTCTCTTCTGCCCTAATTTCCTCCCCTAAAGGCCCTGGTCCTAGGTGGGCGTGTCTGCTGCCCCTGCTCGCAGGAGAGCGCTATCCTGGTGGCCTGAATCTCTGAGAATCAGAGTCCCAGGGAGGGGGGCTTGAGGCTCAGAAATCTCTGGGCTCTATCTAAAACTGCAGGAAACTTAGCTCTGATCTTGGGACCCACACCCACCCATTCAGTGTAGAAAGGGACCTGAGAGGACATGGATACAGCCAGGGACACAGCGCCCTCAGGTGCCCTCATGGAGTCTCACAGCTGTGCCTGGAGACCAGATGTCAGGGCTGAGAGGCATCCTGGGGGCAGGGGGTGGAGGTGGTGATTGCAAGATCCTGGGGAGTTTCTTAGGAAACTTGTGCAGGTGGGAGGCAGGCAGTGCGGCCAGCAGGGGCCAGCAGAGGCCCACAGTCCTCCCCTATCGGCCCTGGGACTGGACCGTGAGGTCTCAAGCCAGAGCCCCAGGCTGCAGCATTTTGGAATAAAAAATAATAATAACAATTATGTATTAGTAATACGTGGTCACACAAAAATAGCCCAGAAGCACTGATGCTGAAAATATGTAGCAATACTCCCCATGCCCGAGCCCCCAAGGCACCTTTTTTATTAACTGTTTCTGTTCTTAATACTCGTTTCTTGAGAGGTTTCCACAGGTTTGAAGCATAGCCTCATCTCTAGATCTTGATTTATCAGCTAGAAACGATACCTGTGTGCAAGTGCATTAGCTCATCACACTCCCCGATGACTGCAGTCTAACTTTTGATTCTGTTACTGCTCCTGTATTTAAACAGCATGATCAACTCCTCTCCTCACTCCATCCACCTTCCCGTAGCTCACAGCCTCCGTGTACGATGGGGATCGGAGCCACCCACTTACCTCCCATCCTCTGTGTGCTGTCCCTTCACTTCAAAGCTAACATGAGTCGCATTTATGTTCTTTGACGAAAACAAAATTAAAATTCCTCAGCTCTTTCTATCGCAAATTCCAAAAGTATCCTATGATCAGCTGTTACAGGCATGTGAGCAAACATTTCAGAGTAGTTTCCCATTCATTTTAATACGCATTGGGAAATAGCTACATGTGCGTATATATCATGAGCCCTTCAATTTGTGGCTTCACAAATCTGACTGTTTAGGATGAAGCGCGAGTCAATTCTTAAATTTTAGAAGTGAGGTGTCAAGGAAATGGTTAAATGATGTGCAATCACAGAGGCGGATAGTGAAAGTCATGACAGGGTTCAGAGATCCATTGGAAAGCTGGTCTTCATTGTCACAGTCGAAAGGCAGTGAGCGAGCAAGGACTTTGCTGTGACAGCATATGCCACCCACAGTGGAGCCAGGCGGCTGCGATGGCCGGAGCCACAGACACTGTCTAGCATGGGGGACCTGGGAACTCTACTGTCTTCCAGCTGACTGTGCAGTTACCACAGTCCTACCTGTACCGTGATTTATTTCTGCAAGTTGTTTTTCTTGGTGTTCTGATCACCTTTTTTATTTCTTTTAAGCAGGCGGCATATCACCCACAGGCCGAATCATCATCTCGGTCATACCACCTGTTACATGGAGCCCCTTTTTTGTCTGGAGACACTCGGGAACCATCTCCAAAAGGAGCCGTTTATTATGCCACAGTGGTGGTCTACAGCTGTGCCGCAGTTACTCTCATAGGCCTCAGGCCATTCCTGTGACAGATGTTTACCGAGCACCAGGCACTGTTGTGGAGTACTGTGGTGAGAGAAGGAGCTACAGAGAGACAGCAATGCCTGCCTGCCAGGAGCATGCATTCTCGGGGACAGACAGGATACAACACACGGCACACTGGAGAGTGACGATGGTGAAGGCATGGAGGAAAGAGACAAACTGCAGGGAGTGCTGGTGGGGTGCGACCTTAGAGTGGTGGTCAGGGAAGGCCTCATTGAGAGGTGACATCATGCGAAGGCTGAGGAAGGTGAAGGAGAGGCTGCCGGTACGTGGGGACAGTGTGTCTCGGGCGGAGGGACAGCCTACACCAAGGCCCAGGGCAGGAGGAACAGCACACGCACTGCACACACGTTGCCTGTGACTTCAGGAGTACCCAGCCTCCAGGTAAAAGCACCTGTACCACCCATGGGCTCTTTCTGGGGAGCGCTACGATGGGTGGGCCCCACCTGGCCACACTGTACTGGGCCCCCAGACACACCAGTTCCCAGCCAGCAAACCCTCCCCACTGTCCCCTGCCCCCCAGCTGCACCCGTTGACCCCTTTAGGGGACATCATAGGACTCTTCACCAATGCCTCCTATGTGTTATACTGAACTGAAGCATGTCCTCCCCAGAATTCATGTTGAGAGCCTCAGAATGTAACCTTATTTGGAAATTTGGCTTTACAGATGTAATTAGTTAAGATGACCCCGTGGAGGGAAGACAAGGCGGAGTGGAGTGATGGCATTTGCGAGCCAAGGAGCGTGAGGATTATCAGCCACCACAGCAGCTGGAAGAGAGTGGCATTGTCCCCTCGAGCCTTTGGAGGGAGCATGGCCCTGCTGGCACCTTGTGTCAGACTTCTGGTCCCCAGCACTGTGAGAGAACAAATGCCTGTTGTTTTGAGACCCCCAATTTGTGGTACTTTGTTCCAGCCACCCCGAAAACTTACACTCCGTTAGTCTTTAAAGAAGAGGTTTCTGGTGTCCAGAGAAAGCCCTCTGTTCTCCCTGCCCAGCATCTGTGTATGGACACCTGCACATCCACCATTAGCACCCCCTCTTCCCTGTAGCTGAAGGACCAACCCATGCTTATCGTTAGGTGCCTCTGGACGGTCACCTTCCTGGGTCTCCTCTGTCATGTCTGCTTCAGTGCATGGCAACTACTTCACTTCAATGCTCTGGCAACTACTTCCTGGTCCTCAGTGTTAGGAATGTCTCCTGGACGGCAGGAGCCAGGGGTCCTGGGCAGGTGGGCCGAGTGGGTGAGATCCCCTCCCCGGCCCTCCGCCCGTGACGGGTCGAGTGTGAGCAGTGTGGGCCGTGGGGGAGAGCAGCCATCAGGATCGGGGTGCAGCTTGCCGCTGAGAGCCTCTTGTGCTCCAGCGTGGCCTTTGAAAGCCAGTGAGGAGGTTTTCTGGGGGCCCAGCAGCCCTGAGCCCATTGGCCAGACTTCCTGGGAGAATGGGGCAGATTTGCATCAAAAAGAACACTGGCTTCATTGAAATTCTCCTCATCTTGAGTTGAACAAAGCCACCAAGCAAAGGAAAGTTTTAATCCTGAGCAACTTCAGCTCTGAGCAGCATTTTGAGCTTCTAAAAATAGAGAGGAAATGGCCTCTTTGGGCCACTACAGCCACCGCCTCCCCCACCCCTTGCCCCCCCGCCCCACTGCCCACTCAAGGCCACCCTGGGCAGTGGGAGACTGAGCTCTCCTCGGTAGATGACACACAGTCCTGGAACTAGACGCAACTTCCCCCCCAGGGACCCCAGCATGCCGGACAGCAGAGAGACCCCGCAGGACAGCCGGCAGGACTCGAGCTTGGGGGCCACCCAAGAAAACCTGGGGACCAGGTAAGTTGGCGTTCAAGTCTGTGTCCACTGAGCCTGGGGTCAGGGCCGGGGTCCGGACTCGGCTCTGCTTGGTGAACCTGGGCAAGCAGCTTTGCTCTCTGAGGCTCGGTTTCTCCACCTGGGAATGAAGGGAAGGTCTGCATGATCTCTAGTGGGAATAAGCACTGGACAGGGACGCGTGTCCTCTGCAGCGGCTACTCAGTGTCTGCTCCCTTGCATGCCAAGGGGGGCTCAACCAAGGGGGGTGTGAGTTGGGGCTGCGGCTGGATGGAGGAGGCATTTTCTCATCTCTAAGAATGTCCCTGTCTCCTCTTGCTGCGGAGTCAATGACAGACAAGGACAGGGAGAGCCAGAGGGTCCGGCTCCAGCTTGCTGTGCGCCGTTCGCAGGCCCCTGCCCCTCTCTGGGCTGCAGCTTCCCTGTCTGGACATGAGTGCCGGGGGTCGCAGGGTCCCCACAGCCCTTCTGCTGTGTCTGTGATTCAGAGGAAGTGAATTCAGCTTGTCAGGCATTCAGCAGTGCCGGCTCTGGCCCAGGCGCTGTCCACCCAGGCGTGGGGTTCTGAGAATGTGGGAGCCAGTCCCGGCCGTGTAGCTTCCCAGCCAGGAGCAGGGAGAAGGCAGGCACATGTCAGTCCTTGACAGTAAGAACGCTGGCTCTCAGCGTCCCCAGCCGCCATGAAAGAGGGGCCACAGTGGGGTCAGGAGCCCAGTGTTTGTGAGGTCCATGCCTCTGGTGCGTGGTGATAAGGGGTGGCCGAGGGTCCTGCGTGCCCAGCAAGGGCCTGTCCACTCTGCAGGAGGCCGGCCACCTGGGCGCATGGAGGCCTGGGCCTGCTTTGCAGACCCCACAAAAGGCAGAGTCCCTGCCTGGTGCACAGAAGGATAAGTAAGTGAGGGCCTGCAGGGGAGAGAGAGCTGAAAACCCAGAGTTGGAGAGCTGGTCCCCTGCTGTCTTGCTTAGTGAGTGACGTTGGGTGAGTTGTTCGGCTTCTCTGAGTATCAGTATCACCCTCTGTGCAAATGAAGATGAAACGCCTGACCCCGACTGACCTTGCTGAAAAGTTGGGCAGACTCTCAGCCGGTGTGGCAAGAGCTTTCAGCAGCACACGGGCTGCCCTCCATGCAGCATGGGGGCCTCTGAGCAGCAGGCCGGGGCTCCGCTCCAGACCTACTGTGTGAGCCTCTCGAGCCTCAGTTTCCCATCAGTCAAATGGGCAAGACGGTGCCTTGCAGAGTAGCTGTGAAGAAAGAACTGTGAGTCCTCGTTTAACACTGTCCTGAACTCAGGGACAGTGACAGCTGCTGCAGTGCCCCTCTGCTTCTCTGCCCCTCCAGGCCAACCCAGCACAAAGGGCTCCATCTCAGGCCTGCCCTTCTGTGCTGGCCTTGTGGCCACGGGCACTGCTCCGTGGGGAGGAGAGGCTCACATTCCTGCAGTGGCCTCAGAGGGGCCTTGTCTTTCCCTTCCCCCTCCCCGTGTTGGCGGGGAGGCTGGAGGTGGGGGGAGTGGAGACTGAGGAGGGTATGCACACCAGCCTGACCCACGTGAATTCCCTTCTGTGCCACCGCAGTGCAGGGCTGCAGCGGGGCGGTGTGGGCAGTGTGTGGGGGTAAGGAGCCAGGCCAGGCCAGAGTGGCGGGACCAGCTGGCCAGAGCACTGATCTGGCAGCCTGTGTTCTGTGTCCTCGGAGGCTGTGGCTGTGGATCATGCATCCATCAGAGGCGCCCATCGAGTGTGTCCAGAACCCGTTAAACCTCGTTCCAGAAGAGACAGCAGCCCGAAGAAGCCAGGCTTGCAGGAAGGGCTCAGAAGGGACTGGACAAGGGGCGGCTCATCCTGGGTTTGCAAGGTGGATGCCCGGCTGGCAGCAGGGGCAGCGAATGGCCACAGTGTGGTAGAGAGGAGTTACATGTGGCTATAGGACAGGTCAGGTTGGGGCCAGGTAGCTCCTAGGTCTCGGTCAGCTGGTGTGGCCAGACTAGGGGCTGCCAGGCCAGAGGGCAGCCAGGGCTAGAGGCAGAGGAGACCAGGACACGTGGGAACAGCAGGAGCCTGGGGAGAGCTTGGTTCTGGGCAGGTGAACCTGGCCATAGTGAATGCAGCGCAGCTGGGTGGGCTGGAGGCGGGAGGCCAGGAGGTGGGAACCCGCAGGCTGGAGTCTGGCCCAGGAAAGCGTAGTGGGCCCTGAACTGACCATGCTCCCTGGGTCAGGGAGCTGCCTCCCAGCATGGCCTGCCCAGAGACAGGGTGCAGAGAGGAGCCCCTCAGAGCCAGGGACAGCTTCCTCAGAGCATGCCCCTATCGTTAAGCTACGCGTACCTGTGTTGATGACAGACAGATCCTGTCCACTGGTGGTTTTGATCATGGTGGAGAGGGCGGCCTGAAGCCTGGTGTGGACGTAATTCCAGCCGAGGTGGCCGCCTACCACACACCTAGGCTGTACGGCACAGTCTCCTGCTCCTGTACGGCGCGTTCCTTTCCCAAACAGCACGAGCTAAATCAGGCACGAGGGCCGTGGTGCCGTCGGGAGACCCGCTGAGCACGACGGGTGTGAGCCTGCTGCCGGTGTCACCCGGGATGCCGCTTCACAGTAGACTTGTTGCTTTCCCAGGCAGAAAGGGCACACTAAAATGTGATAAAAGGTATAGTGAGTACAGAGCCACTAGCACAGCGTTTATTGTCATCATCACGTGTCATGCCCTGGACACAGCTTTGTTGTGTGCCCTGCCCTTACACCACAGGCAGCCCGGTGAGTGTGTTTGCACCGGCATCGCCACACACACCAGCAGTGTGTTGTGCCGCCACGTTAGGATGGCTGTGGCATCACTAGGTGACAGGAAATTCACAGCGCCACTGTAATCTTATGGGACCACTGCCCTCTGGGGTCCATAGACAGAAATGTCATTATGCAGCGCGTGTCTGCGCAGCGTAAGGAAACGGCTTCGTTGGGGTTTATTATGTGCACCTTACTCATACACAGACTTCCTCAAGGCGTTGGGGGGGAGGGGGTACTAAAAGGGTCTGGTGATGGGTGATGGGAACTAGGGGTTCAGAAGAACATGGGATGTCCCCCATCTATACCTGCCTGCTTTTTGCGCCCCACCCCCACCCCCCCAGTCACCCAGCAGCCCTGAAACCATCGGGGATAGCCTGTTGGTTAAGAGCATAAACTCTGAAGTCCACCTGTCTCAATTTGTATCCTGACTCTGCTAACAGATGACCACGGGCAAGTCACCTAATCTCTCTGTGGCTCAGTCTCCTCGTCTGTGAAGTGAGGCCAGTGACAGGAAGTGCCTCATTGGGCTGTTGTGAGGATTGAGCGTGTTAGTGTGTAGAGTGAGAGGACACTGCCTGGCCCAGTCAGTGCTGCGTGCGTGACAGCCACAAGCTGTCACTGTTCTTGTTCCAGCCTTGCTGTTGTTTAACCCCTGCCCCTCAAGCCTGAGCTGGCGTCACCTCGATTGCAGCCTTGTCCCTGCTGGGTGCAGCGGGATACCAGCCCAGGCACCCACTCACCGTCACAGATAGAAATCAGCAAGCCCTTTGTCTGGGACATATCTGAGGAAATGGAGGACCAGGGGCTTGCACAAGGCCACCCACTGGGGCAGCACCTTGGCTGCAATCCAGAGTTGGCTGCCTGTGGCTCCTTCCGGGCTGTCAGGGCAGTTTAATGACGGACACTCAGGCTGTGTGACTTGCCTTAACAGGGTTGGTTGGATATACTGTGGGTTAGAAGTGAGCTGGCTGGCTAGGCTGCCCCTACCCACCAGGGCAAGAGCCAAGATGAAGCCTTTGGGGCGTCAGAACGGGGCCTCAGTCACAGCCATGGGCCCACAGTGCCTTCCCCAGATACGCTCCTCTCGTGGGTCTGTGGGGTGTGTCTTAGACCGTCCCCGCCCTCCTTTTCCAGGGGACCATGGGTCCTCAGAAGACCTCTGCATTGGCCATGCCCCTCTGTGAGCGGGGGGACCAAGGCTGGGGAAGGTCCACAGCCTGGGTCTGTCACCAGGGCCTTAGATCCATTCCCCTCTGCGCCGGACTCCCCATCTGACCACTGCCAGGGATGCTTGCCACATGCCTCACGTGAAAGAATCAGACCTTCACCCCTTGCCACCTTTCTCCCTTTAATTTCATTTTACCCCCCCCCACCCCCACCCCAGCCCGGGTCTGGTGGCTCCACAGTGACCTTGAATGCACCTTTGCTGATTGACTGTCAATCCCATCGTCTCTGAGCCTTCGAGGCAGGGACCAGGCTCCCTTTACTGACCTCTGTCCCCATGTCCCCTGCAGTATCTGCATGGAGGAGGGGCTGAATCAATAATCATGGTCGTGGGGCAGGGAGAGATCATTTCCAACTCGGGACATGGACTTAATTAAGATTTTTATTGCATTAGACCATTCTGCTTAAAAAAGCAGCACCCAGCCTCTAAACGCTGAGCGCTCTGGGAGGGGCTCGGCCAGGGCAGCTCCAGGAGGAAGCATGACAGCTGGGGTCCCTCCCAGAGGCCTTCCTGGAGGAGGTGGGGTCTGCAGAACCGTAGGAGGCTTCTGCCGGGGCAGCTAGCTTGAGGGTTCTGCAAGAGGATGGAAAGGGAAGATGACACGTTTTCCAGGCCCTCCTTGTTTCTGGAATAAGCCCATTTGCCCAGCTTCCTCATCAGCTTGGAAACTGCATCCAGCCTGGTCATCGAGCCGCCAGGAGGGGCTGAGCGATCTGGGCACAGGGTTCCTGCCAGCCCTCAAGGGAGGACATTTCTACCACATCCCACACACACATCACCCCGGTGCCAACGCCCGTATTAACATCACTGCTTGGCCCAAACCAGGAGCGGGAGCAGGAGAGGGACCATTGTGTCCGATCCAGGACAGAGGATGGGTTGGCATTTCTTCATGGGGTTCGCCCCCAGGAACCCAAAACGGCAAGAGAGCATCAGGGCACCCTGATGGGAGTGAGGGGGCCTCCCGGCAGGTCCTCAGAGAGGCTCATAACCCATGG